CCTGAACTCAACGCAGCCTGAAACCCAGAAGTCAGCACTGTGGTTCTGACAGAGAGGAACTAGGAGAAACTCTCTAGTTCTGTTGCAAGAAGTGAAAAAAGGCATTCCTAAGGCTCAAAGAGAGTGGAGAAAATCCCCAGATTTTTTTCTCCATTCTCTCACAGCCTCAGCCCCAGGCAATTCCACAGAGGCAGCAAAAGCAGCTGGGAACAAAAAACTGCAAAAGATAAAACTCTGAGAAGGGGAACTTTCATTTCCATTTGGAAACTCAAAAAAGTGACCCATAAAGCCGTTTATGAATTCCCAGGCTCACCTCTGATCTGTGCATACGTAGCGCTGATCCTAATTACCATACCACAGACTAAGAACTGAACACCACAGACTAAGAACTGAACTAACGGACAGACCTCCACTCAGGCTGACCATTGGGTGGTACGCACATAGGACAGATCCAAGACTGTAAAGGCTTTGAAAACTAAAATGACATAGGACTTTCAGTCCACAAAAGGCAGGTTGGAACTTGCAGCCTATAATTAACCAGGGCAAATGATTGCTAAAAGAAAAATATCAACGTTCTCCATAGGATTAAATAAGACCAGATTCTCAACATAGTATTCAAAATGTCCAGGATACAATCCAAAATTACTTGATATACAAAGAATACATGAACATCTTAATTTGCATGGGCAAAGACAACCAAGGGACACCAATCACAAGATGACATAAACGGTAGAATTATCTGACAAAGATTTTAAGCAGCTATTATAAAAATGCTTGAACAAGAAGTTGCCAACACTCTTGAAAGAAAAGTTAAAGTATAAAGCATTAGCAAGTAAATAAAGAACCAAGTGGAAAATTTAGAACTGAAAAATACAGTAACAGAAGTAAAATACTCACCGGATAGACTCAACAGCAGAATGAAGATGACATAGCAAACAGTCAACGAACTTAAAGATAAAGTTAAATTATCTAATCTGAGGTCCCTGGGTGGCACAAACAGTTTGCTCTTGGCTACTAACAAAAAGATTGAACAATGGAAAGAAAAAAGGTTTTAAAAAATTAATAGTAAACAGAGTCTCAAGGACTTGTACAACAACAAAAGGTCTAACAGTCATGTTATCAGAGTACCAGAAAGAGAAGAAAAAGAATGTGGTGTCTAAAAAAAAAAATTTAAAGAAATAATGGCTGAAAAGTTCTCAAATTTGGCAAACACCTAAACCTACAGATTTATGACAGTGAGTGAACACCAAACAGGATAAACCCAAAGAAATCCACACACAGATACATCATAATCAAACTGATAAAAGCTAAAGATAAAGGAAAAAATCTTAAAGCAGCCAGAGAAAAATGACTTATGACCTATACAAGAATAATATGAATGACTGCTGGTTTCTTATTAGAAACCAAGAGGAAGTGGCACAACATTTTTAAATTCTTGAAATAAGAGACCTGTCAACCAGAATTCTATATCCAGCAAAAATATCCTTCAGGAATGAAGGTAAATTAAAGACATTTTCAGATGAAAGAAAACTAAAGAGAATTTGTGGCCAGCAAATGACCCTAAAACTGTTAAAGGAAGTTCTTCAAACAAAAGGAAAAAAATGAAGGAAACGTGAAACACCAGGAGTGAAGGAAGAGCAACAGAAATGGAGAATATATGGATATAAATATAATGGACTATTCTCTTAAGGAAATCCTGGGTGGTACAAATGGTTAAGCGCTCGACTACTAGAATGGTTAGCGGTTCACATTCATCCAGAGGTGCCTTGAAAGGCAGGCCTAGCAATCTGCTTCTGAAAGGTCACAGCCTTGACAACCCTATGGAGCAGTTCTAATCTGCACATGTGGTGTCGCCATAAGTCAAAATCGAATCAGTGGCAACTAACAAAAACAACATTCTCTTAAGTTCTTTAAATAATGTTTGGCAGTTGAAAGTAAAAAAATATATAACATTGTCTGATGGGGTTTTCAGTGTATGTAGATATAATGTATAAGACAACTATAGCATAAAAGGAGGTGGGTAAGGGGAACCATATAGTGGTTGTGGTGGTTGTAAGCTGCTGTCGAGTCAATTTTGGCTTATGGCGACCTCAAGGATGTCAGAGTATAACTGTTTTCCATAGGTTTTCAATGGCTGATTTTTAAGAAGGGGACTGTCAGGTCTTTCTTCCAAGGCACCTCTGGTTAGACATGAACCTTCAACCTTTCGGTTAGCAGCAGAGCGTGTTAACTATTTGCACCACCCAGGGATTCCCTATATAGTGTGGGATTCCCTATATAGTGGTAAAGTTGCAATATTCCAACTGAAGTGGTAAAATACTGACTCTAAATAGATTGTAAATAATTAAATATGTACTTTATAATCCCTACAAAAACAAAAAACAAAACCAAACCCGTTGCCATCAAGTCGATTCCAACTCATAGTTACCCTATAGGACAGAGAAGAACTGTCTCACAGGGTTTCCAAGGAGCGAATGGTGGATTCGAACTGCGAAACTTTTGGTTAGCACCCATAGCTCGCTGCAGTTTTTAACCACTGCACCACCAGGGCTCCATAACCCCTACAGCAATCATTAAAAAAATTACATAAAGATATAGTTAAAATTACAATAGATAAATAAAAATAGAATATTAAAAAATGTTCAAATAACCCAAAAAAAGGGCAGGAAAGTAGAGATAGAAGAACAAACAATGAAAGGAACAAGCCAAAAACAAGCAGTAAAATGGTAGACATAAATGCAAACATATCTATCAACAATTATATTAACTATAAATTGTCTAAATATACCAATTAAAAGACAAAGAGTGTCAGAATTAACTTTTTTAAAATGACCCAACTATACGTGTCTACAAGAAACTTACTTCAAATATGATGATACAGGTAGGTTAAAAGTATAAGGATAGAAAAAGATATACCATACAAACAGGAATCAAAAGAAAGCTGCAATGGCTATATTAATATCAGACAAAGTAGACTTCAGAGCAAGCAAAAGCACATAAAAAAAGATAAAGAGAAATATTACATATTGATAAGAGGGTCAATTCACCAAGAAAACCTAAGAATATAAAAGCATTTAATTGATCACTTAACAGCATTGTATAGTTATATATGACACAGACTCTAGTCTCAGAGATCTGTGTTTAAGTGTGAGTTCTGCCACTTTGTGACCCTGGGCAAGTTACTTCACCTCTCTAAGCCTCAATCTCTTGATCTTTAAAATGGGGATAAGTACCTACCTCATAAGTTACTGAAAAAAATGAAATAATACAGACAACCTCCACTTTTAAAAGGAAAAATATTTGCAGTTGTCCTCTTAATTTTTCTCAATTTCAAGACATATAGCTCTAGGTTTCTATTTCTGCATCCTCCATAAGGCCTAATTCAGCGCTAGCTACATAGACAAAGCCCGATACACCTTCTCCTCACTTATCAACTATCTCGTTATCCAACATTTTGCATTTCTCACATAGTAAAAAATCTACTATGCAACTATTTTGTGCATTAACAGGACCAGTGGGACATAAAGCACCTACCTACATTTGCCGCCTCTCGGGGTTATTGGGAAGCTGCTGTCCCACTGACAGTATCCACTGCCAAAACCAAACACACTGCCACTGAGTCGATTCCGACTCATAGCGACCCCATAGGGTGTGCAAAGCTGTAAATCTCTACAGAAGCAGACTGCCGTATCTTTCTTCTGTGGAGTCGCTGGTGGTTTCAAACTGCCAAGCTTTTGGTTAGAAGTTGATCACGTTTGAAACTCAAGAAATGGACATTCCATTTTCTCATAATGCCAATTTCGCATAACGACCTGGTCTTCTGAACCTAACCATGTGGATAAGTGAGGAGAGGGTGTAAATATTTGCTGATTGACTGAGTAACACACTCTTAAGAGGCTATTCATTCATGAATGCACTTCCATTTTCTGTGCTAAATATCTAAATTTCTAAATATCATACTGAATCTATTCTAAAGGTTCTAAATGTTACTACTAAGATTACGAGGGGAAGTTTTAAATGCTCAAAGAAATTTTATTTCCCAAGATATTCAAATAACACAATAAAGCCTAATAGCTATCCACTTTTATTATCTGGCTATCAAACAGCCAGAAGGCCTCTTTTTACGGCACATTCTCCCTCTAAAAATGTTACTTAACAGATGCCTAATCCAATATATTAGTACACACCAATTTTTGTCATCCTTGTATTAACTCCTTAATGCAATCTTTAGTAACTAACTATGCAAACCATTTCTCCAAATTCCAGATGTTATTTATTATGGAAGAACTATCACTTTTTTTTTTAACCCAACACAGTATACAAAGTGATTCTCAATGGAAAAGTTTAAGAATCTCTTGAGGGGCTTTTCAAACCAAACATGCCTACACCTCCTTGAGAATCACTGCCTAAGTGAGCCACTTGATAGTAGTACCAATCCAAAGGAAGGTGTCCTAGCCCTCAAATATACTGAAGGAGGACAAAAATTAAGAACTAATGACAACTAAAATTAAAATGTAAAGCTTAGATGTATGTTCTCAAGTGTTTAGTCACCAAATGAGTATGCTATTACTTTCTACTAAATCTGTTACTCAAATTTATCATTCAATTCATTTTGAATTAAATTCATGGTAAAATAAAATTTGGCACCTTTATTTGGTACATACTAACAGATATCAAAACGTATTTAAGTCTGATTATAGTTTAATATGCTATATTAAGCACAACGAGAGTTGTTAAAAGTTTTAAACAGGCATACCATTAATTCAGTGGAATCTGGTTTGTGCTAAGATATAGGAATACCTAACTACGCCAAGGAAACTCTGGTGGCATAGTGGTTAAGAGTCTGGCTGCTAACCAAAAGGTTGGCAGTTCTACTCTGTCCTATAGGGTCCCAATGAGTTGGAATCTCCTTGACGGCAGTGAGTTTTTGAGTTTTAACTATACCAAGGGGGGTAAAATGTTTAGATCACTGAAGGTACAAAAGTAGCTATTGTTATTACCTGCTGAACAGCCAGTGTACTGTCCATTTCATCAAAAGATTCATCAGGCCAATTATAGAAATCCTATTAAAAAAAATTCCACGGTTAAAGCATACAAAGTTACAAAAAGGATACAATACAAATGGTAATTTTAATTCTTAATAACGATCCAAAACTCACACTAGAGAGAAGAGAGAAAAAGACTTTACAATGTGATTATAAAATGCAATAAGTTAAAGAAATTTTATTTAACGTTGTCAACTGAACATCAAGATTTTACTTAATTATATCACAAAAAACATTTTCTTCTTCAACCACAAATCCCTCAGTATATGGCTACCATAAACCTTTCATGTATTAATAATTGGGGAGAAAAGTCTATCACTTTTTTGTTTATGGTGATTAAATACCTTGCAAAAATTTTTTCCAGACACCAAAAAATTAACTGGATTTTACCTAAAAAGAACATAGTTTCCCCATAAAACCAAACGGAACTAATGAGGCACAGCAGTCCAGGGACAAGGACTAGAAGGCAGAAGGGGACAGGAAAGCTGGTGATAGGGAACCTAAGGTTGAGTAAGGACAGTGTTGACATGTAGTGGGGTTGTTAACCATTGTCACAGGGCAACATGTGTACTAACTGTTTAATGAGAAACTATTTTGTTCTATAAACCTTCATCTAAAGTGAGAATAGCAGCACAACTGGAAGAGCGTAGTCGATGTCACTGAACTGTGCATGTAGAAATTTTTGAAATGGTGTATCTTTGGCTATGTATATTTTCACAAAAAAAAAAAAAGGTTGAGAAGGGAGAGGGTTGACATGTTGTGGGGTTGTTAACCAATGTCTTAAAACAATATGTGTACTACTGTTTCATGAGAAACTATTTGTTCTGTAAACCTTCACCTAAAGTACAATAAAAAGAAAATCTGAAAAAAAAAAAAAAAAACACAGTTACCAGCTAATTTACTGTCCGATAAACATTATTTTAGACAACAATTAAAGATTATTAATCCAATTCCAAATGCTGTTTTAAATTTCTAAATTAAAATACGAACTCTTTTAAAAAGTAGTCATCTAAATAAAACAGTCTTTTTTTTGTTGTTGTTTTTAATGTTATTTTTGGTGAAAATATACAAAACATATACCCATTCAACATCTCCTACATGTACAGTCCAATGACATTAGTTACATTCTTTGTATTGTGTCACAAGTCTCAATATCTCTACCCATATTGTTTCATTACCATTAACTTAGACGCTCTGTCCCCTAAAACTCCTCCTCTGTGTTTTAGAGTTACTGCTGTCAATTTGATCTCATATAGCTAATTCTTTAAAAGAGTGCACTGCTCAAGGTGAATATTGTTTACTAGTTGAGCTAAACTGTTGTTTAAAGATGACTTCATGGAATAGTTTTGGTTCACTGCTTAAAGATTATCTCAGGGCAATAGATTCAGGAGTTCCCCCAGTCACAATGAGTTCTGTAAGTCTAGTTTCTATAAGAATTTGAAATTCTGTTCCACATTTTTCCTCCCTTTAATCAGGCAGAACTGTCTCCTTTTAAGGACAGTTATTTTTGTGGAATGCCTTGTACTGGTTCTGAACATCTCTAGAGATAGTTCAGTTCATAGACCTTCCTCTAAGTGATTAAGAACTTTTCCCAACAGTTACCTGTATCAACACGAATAAGTCTCCAAACATCTTGAGCAAAAAAAGCAAATTGGAGACTATATAGTATATGATACCACACAGACAAAAGTTTAAGAAAGTGCAAAGCATGCTTATGGATATAATACATACATAGTAAAAATATAAAAAAGAAAAAAAAAACGAATGATAATCACCAAATCATCAATACTGGTTAGAGAAGACAGGAGAATGTGAATCAAAGAAATTCAACTATACTTTAAGTTTAAGTTCTTAGGGTAGGTAATGGGTATACCTTTTTTAAGTGTCTTAAACATATTTTTTTTTTCATAGTTGCTCTATCTGAATAAATTAGTAATTTTTCTGATTAAGGGAAAAATGTCAAGAAATAAAGAAAACCTTCTGGAAGTTACTCCAGGATGCCTTTTCCAATAATCACCTAAATATTATTGAGTGGTCTTTAAATTCTTCATATATGATTTATATTAAACCATGTTTCTATCAATATACTTTGCCTATTTTTCCTTTAAAAATTTAAGAGTGTAGAATATTTTGTTTTAAAAATATTAGAAAACATATATAGTGATACACAGATGTTAAAAAAGTTAATTGGGAACTAAATGTTTTGCCTCATCATAACAGATATTTCAGACACATAAAATGAACCAAAAATCTGGCTTAATTCAGTCAACAAACATTTACTGAACACCAATTATGTGCCTGTACGGCAATCTAACCAATATAAAAAAAAAGAAGATAGCCTTCCTACTCCAACAGCTTTCTAAATGTATCACTTTATAACCTATTTTACTGCAAGAAATTAGTGTGACAGAGAAGGAATAGGAGAGGCTGCTGCTTAAGCAGTCCTTTTTTTTTTATCCTAACCTCTTTCTGTTAGATTTTATTTCACAACTACCTTGACATATGATATCGTGGAAAAAAGCAAAGGAGCTTTCTTATATGTGAGTTACTCATGACAACACAGCAAACAGATGTGTTACAACATTAACTCAAAATATACTGTTTTCTAACCTTTCGAATTTAAGAACTTTTGAGTAAATAAAAACGAAATGACTCTCAGAATGTGAGTACAGAAAGTTCACTTCTGAATATAATAAATAAAAGTTGATCATTAAAAAAAAAAGAATCAGAAACAGCATTTCTACAAAATAATAGATATCTGAGGGGGGGAAGAGAGCATTTACAAGAAAAGTTTGGAAAAGGTAAAAACAAAGCATATATGTTTCCAGCAGTATGACCACAAAACAGCCAACAGACATAACCGACAACTTAATGTCACTCTATAAGCCTTTCAAAATAAATTCTCTAAAATTCAGTGCTAAAAGCAACTTGTTAAATCGGAAAGATCACCAGTGAACTAGGAATCGGGAGACTATGTAACCTTGAACAAATCTAGTTGATTTTCTGAGCTTCAGTTTCCTCATCTGAAACATGGGTGTGGGAAAGTGTCTACATCTATAAGCTCCCTTTGAAAGTTCTTCCTTTCCATAATTCTGTGCAAGAAATTAAAATCTCTTCTCAGTTACAGAGCTCCACAGCTGTTTTGTTTCTTTTTTCATTCATATCACTTTTTAGAAATTACATTTTAAACATTTCTTTTGAGAGCATCTTCTCAACAGCAAGCCATTTATTTCGGCTAGCAGATCGATCAAATCAAGTCTAAATGCCAGTTTGATTTTTTTTTTTTTAAAGACTGTGAGGCATCCTGTCTTTTGCAATTCCTAAGAACCAATATCTAAACAAGCACCAACTCACCGCAAATAGCGCCCTACTAAAAGTTGGTAAGATTAAAATCAGTTCATCCCTGGACTATGCTTCACTTAAAACAAGGAAATCCTTCCAAGGGCTGACATCTAACAAGTCATAACCTGATGATGAAAACTTGCAGGACCAAAGAACAGGAGCAGGGAAGCAGCGGCGAGCGGTGGTCAAAGACAAACTGGAGGATAACACTGCATTATCGCTCCACGGAGCCGGCTAGACAAGCTGGATGGCAGGTACGTCACCGACCGGGCAGGAACCTCCGGGGGCAAGGTAGGCAGTGTTTACACCCCACCCCCACCCCCACCCCGCATACTCCAATCCACAGGAAGCCCCTGGGGTCTCCACCTGGCCGGGCCGCGCCCCTGCGGCACGGATCGAGTGGAGGTCCGGGCGAGGCCACAACAGGCAGCTGCCGCTGTCAGGCTCCCAGCCGCGGGCCTTGGCGGGCTGAGCCCGCAACCCCTACCTGCCCCTCATGTACACCCCCAAGTTGGGGCTCCGGCAGGCCTCGGTCGCCGCCGCCGCCTCAGCCAGACTGAGGAGCTACGGCTCCGGAAGAGCAGGCCAGGCACCAGTGCCCTCGCCCGCCGGCCCGACCAGGCCTAACCTCCCCTCAGGGGCAGCCAGTTTCCAGGCGCGGTGCGGCTGGGCACCGAGTACACCCAGGCAGGAATGAAAAGGAGACGGTACCTGAGCCTTGGTGCCCGGTCTGTTCCGCCTCAGCACTACCGTACCCTCCGCCATGACCATAGTGCCAGTCTGTGCCGCTGGAGTCGGTACCCGGATGTAGAGGAATGGCTGCCGGCAAGGGGGCGGGGCCGCGGAGCGGCGCTCTCAGCCCTGGCGCCGGGGAGTGGCGGCGGCTGATGGAACAGCCGAAGTCCCCGCGAAGGTGGGAAGGATTCCAGCACTGGGCAGGCTTGGCAGAGGGAGACTGCAAACTAAGGAACAGCCTGGGAAGCACAGGCGGCGATGTGAGGTGGCGGGAAAAGGAGAAATGGGGGGTGGCGGGGAGGCGGGACCACTGGTGCCACAAGCAATTACTGGGAGTCCACGGGCCCGCGCGAAGGGTCGTGATCGCGGGTGGCCGCTGCGTCATTTTGTAAGGCCTGGGTGACGGACGCAGTGTGCGAGGCCTCTCATTGGACTCTCGTTAATTACACTGAAAGGACAGCGCTTACACAATGTCGACCACTTCAGTAAGCCCATCTACAAGTATACACGTTTCATAGCGACCCTATAGGACGTAGTGTAAGTGTCCCGTAGGGTTTCCAAGTAGTGGCTGGTGGATTCGAACTGCCAACCTTTTGGTTAGCAGCCGAGCTCTTAATCACTGTGCCGTCAGGGTTCCAAGCATATAGGTAGAGAAGCATAATTCTGCCTCAAAACTCGCTTAGGGAAGCAAAATGGAAAACAAGCCAGCAGTTTGGGAAAATTCCACAGACCCTGTATGAAATCTACCAATCTCAAATTAGACAAGGGTTTACAGTGTCAAATGATATTTCCCCCATCTGCTGACTTCAAAGCCAAGGATCTTTTCAATGACAAGTTCGTTTGCGTAGAAAAAAGACGCAGATGGCTCTTATCTCAGTGATAGAGGTGGACATCTGGTATTGTGCTTAGGACAACTTAGAATTAGCTTGTGTTTTGCAAGT